GATGGGATTTAATCGCCACAAATAATGACCTCAGACTAAAGGTGATATACCACTATTACTATAAGCACTGGGTTGGAAATTGTGATGCTTAGGAGTTATGGAATTGCAACAAATCACCTTGCTTTTGCTCAGTAGCGATTTGCGATGCTTTCCAGTTAAAGAGCCCAGTATTACAATATGTAACATCTGAGGAATATGTTTCATTTCGAGTATTGAAGGTCCTGATCAATTCACTCTGTGCCTCAGCCGCCACCTATAGGTCAGCAGGGTTGATGGCTATTGCTGTACGTAGGATACACCAGTCTATCATCATCCTTAGTGACAATGTATCTGATCAACTGTCCCTGTGGACTCAGTGCCACTATCCTGTTGATATAACAGTCAGCAATGAAGATGTGGCCATAGCTGTCTGTACACCCTACCCATGGTACATACAGCTGACCAGCACCTCTGCCTCTTGTGCTATTCTGGTACAATTGGTCACCAGTAAGTGGCAGCGATTCTAGGACAATTCCCCCCCGGACAATTCCCCCCCGGACTATTCCCCCCGGAAAATTCCCCCCCGGACAATTCCCCCCCGGACGATTCCCTCCCAAGAAATATAAATTATATACAAACATAAAGTAGAAAGTGCAAAGTTTAAATTATTTCATCCACTTTATTAATATTTTTAGTGTGATTAAACAACTTCATCATGAAACAAATTATTTTATAACAAATTCCCTTTTCATTGAGTACAAGTAAAGGAAGATTTATTAAATATCTAATGGAAGTATAACCACCTATTCTTCAGGTAAAGGTGGGGTAAACAGATGAACAGGTAAACAGATATTTTATAAATATTTTTAGTATGGTGGGTGGTGGGTAGTGGTCAAGCAATTAAAAGTGACAAATAGTCACAGGGATACATGGATAAGCGAGAAAATCTGTTTACCCCACCTCTCCCTTGAGATGCACCTTGATTCGGGGGGGGGGGGGAGAGAAATAAAGCAATTAAAAGTAACATTTAATTTATCAAAGGGCTACCTGGATAAGTGAGATCATGTTTCCCCCTCCTTTACCTGAAGATATATACTTTGATCAGATTTTAATAAAATGTTCTGTACTTCTATCTCGAAAATTTTATGAACTTGTACTCCATGAAAAAAAATTTGTTTACAAAATTAATATTACATATCCTTGATTTGCATCAGCACACTAAGAACTATTCAGAAATTGGATGAAAAGATTTGAACTTTGTACTCTTTACTTCATATTTGTATATAAATATATATATTCTTCGGGGGGGAATCGTCCGGGGGGGAATTGTCCTGGGGGGGAATTGTCCGGGGGGGAATTGTCCGGGGGGAATAGTCCGGGGGGGAATTGTCCGGGGGGGAATTGTCCTGATACCGTGGCAGCACATGTACACAGTCACTGAGCAAGCCTGATATCTCAATGTTAAAATGCAAACTTTAAACTGTTATGTGTTATGAATCAGAGGGCTGTTCCCATAGTGTTTTCTGTGATGAAATTTTTACCAAAATGGTTATTTACAACTACTTAACAAGTACTATCTAGTACTAGAGCACTGTCTTAATCATGGACAGTGTCAATCTATCGTCTTTTCACTGTGGTTAAATTCCATCTGCATTAAATTCTGTAGGGACTTTGGCTTGCCCGTATATTCATGAAGATATTTGATGTTGTGTGTTAATGAAGAAAGTACAGCATAGGCAGCACTATAGACAAAAGCAGATGCGGCTGAGGAGTGAATATCCAGACAGAGTCTGTCCATAAAAAGGAAAACAAGACATACACTGGTGTGTAATTTATATATTGAAATAAACACAAATGTCAAAAGATATGAATGTTAAGGTGATTACTGTAATAACTAGATTATTTATGTACCCACATTAAATAAGTTATTTAGAGAGGTATATATATTTAACTATCTGTTGTCAGTATTTTACAATCCAATATTTACTGGTACTTCACAAGTACTTTACAGGAGTGTCTTATTTAAGTTTTGTTGGTATTTTCAGCTAAATATTTACTAGAGGCTTTCAAATAAGTATTATCAGTATTTTCAGTTATGTATTTACAAGAATTATACAATTACTTAAGTACTGTCAGTATTTTCAAATCAATATTTACAAGTATTAGACTGTCTTCATTTCATTTTGTCAGTATTTTCAAGTCAATTTTTACAACTACTTAACAAGTACGAGAGCACTGTCTTAATCAAGCATTGTCTGTAATTTCAATTCAATATTTACAAGTATTTTACAAATACTAAAGTGTCTTAATTAAGTATTGTTAGTACTTTCGATTCAATATTTACAACTACTATAAAAGTGCTAGGGCGTCTTAATTATTTTGAATATTTTCAATTCAATATTTACAAGAACTATAGTGTCTCAATTAAGTATTGTTAGTGTTTTCAATTATATATATATATATATATATATATATATATCACTACTAGATTGTCTTGGTTAATATATATCATTATTTTCAGCTAAATATATACAAGTACTTTACAACTACTAGACTGTCTTAATTAATATATGATATTATTGTCAGCTAAATATATACAAGAACTTTACAACTACTAGTTTGTCTTGATTAATATATGGTAAAGTGCCATGAATTTCGAACGGCTCTTGAATTTCGAACGATCTTAAAATCGGCCGTCTTTTTCTGGACCATGAATTTCGGCCAGTAAGCAATTTTGCGCTATCTTGATTTCGTGAATTTCGTACACCTTAAAATCGGCCACCGGCTATTTTCGCGCTTATAAAGATCTAACAGTCGGCAATGTTGTCCTAGCGTACCTTTACCTGAGTACTACGTGTGCGGCCCAATGTGCAAGATAACGATCGGTACAGTTAGTTTAGGACGCTAAACAAAATCGTCATATCCATTCATTCAGACTGTTGTTTCTTTACCGCAGTATTCGGTGTGAGATAGCGATCAGTAGTTTTGCTGAGGCGCACAATAGCATTGTTAACAGTAGAGACTTCAGTAACAGAACAAAAGAGCAATATTAAGAGCTGCAATAAAGATTACCATTATTGCTTTCTTGTCTCGCTCAGATCGTTCACGATCTCCCGCTGACGATCTTCCACTAATGAAGTCCCTTGAAATGTACAAATGAAATGAAAAATATTTTTAAAAATTATAAATTCCATTGGGGAGGGAGGGTTAAAAACAACCGAGAACGATCTCCGGCTGACGATCTTCGGCAAACGAAAGCCACTGAACGAGTATGAGCTTTCTCGTTTCACTCGGATTGCGAACGATCTCCCGCTGACGATACGAAAATTGCGTTCTTGTCTCGCCCTTTGGCTTACGAAGTCTTTTTAAAAAATATGAAAATTGCCTCCTGGTCTCTCTCGGATTGCGAACGACCACTTGCTGAAAATTTGAAATTTTCCTTTTTGTCAATCAGCTTTGTCAGTTGCCGTGCGTATGAAGGCCCGGAAGGTGTCCCCTTTCACAAATTGGCCTGTAGTTTGCTTAGTGTTTTGTACCGCATGAAGGTCACTCTTGTCACTGCTGCATACGGCATGGAATGTGTATCTTAAAGTTCATAGAAACATTTTATTGTGTTTTGTAAGCTTTAGGAAGTAGTTTCGTCGTGACTGAATATCAGCGTATACTACAAAGTACAGTAGTACCATTCATCTGTGACGCATCATAAAAGCTACGTACGTCAAATTACTCTAAGAAAATTTCTTACAACGTCTACGGCTGTCCCGACAAGCCAAGACGTCATTAAAAGGAAGTCGCAAGCCGTCTAGCCGTCTTTGAAAATATAGGCCGTCCGGTGATGTCATTATTGTCAGCTAAATATTTGCAAGTACTGGAATGTCTACACTGGCTCTGATGATGTTTAACAGCAGCAGATACTTCTCTGAGGACACATCTAAACGTGTCATTAAATTGTTTTAGAACAGATGAGTATCACAACACAAATAATGCTCTTAGTATGAAATGTGGGGAATATCTATATTGCATCATGGAATGCCCCCTTGTAGATTTTCAGCAAGTTTGCTCAAAATCACTAAAAACAGAAGTCACTTTATTTATCTGATGACAATATCTAAAGCATGCAAGTAATATGGTGGATATACACCATAGGTTCCTTGTCCACGGTGACCAACAGGATAAAAAATCTTAACACATACTGTCAAACACTTTACACAAGTAGTTTTAATGTGCTCCAATAAGGTATGGGTGGAGCTTAAATTCCTAACGCCAACGGCTCTTCACAAAAAGGCCGATCACTTCCAATTTCCTGTTTCTGTAATTCATCCTCTACATCCTGGCTGCTAACTTCTAGTTCATCTGCCAGATGGGAATGTTGGTATTGTCTGAGGGCATCTTTCAAGCATTCGATGGGTCGTTTTTCAGGACTGCTTGCAATTAGTCTTTCAAACAACTTTCTACAGGCATCATGTGGATTTTCCCTGGCACTATTTCTAAGCACTGTAATCTCCTCATCGGGTATCATATCATATTGATAAAAGTAATTCAAAATTCTTCCAATGTCAATATGAATTTCTTCAGCAAAGCGAATTCCATTCTGTCTAAGTTTCTTATACTCCATTTCACTCTTAAGTCCATTCTAGAAAAGAAATATAAAGTGAGTTAGTAGTTTGTGTGGATAGATGCTTGTTCAAACCTTATCATAAAATTCACTTCTGGCAACAATCAATTGTTTGCTATTTAAAACAAGTTACATTCAAAATATCATTTTTTTCTCTTTCTGTATATAAGTCTTAATAACGTTTTATGAAGATCTTGAAGAGATAAATTTGCCAAGGAGTACAGATATTTCAGAGGTATCCATAGTGTAAAATCACTGAAGCCAAAACATGTCATACTGTTTATTTAAGTGACAAATTTCACAAAAAGCTGATTACTTCATTAGACCAAATGGTCAATTACCTTGACTTCATCAATCAGATCTTGTGGAATGTCTAGTTCTTCTTCTGTGTGGCATCCCTTTAACTTTAACAACACACTGATGAAAGATGCAATAGAACCCTCAACTTGAGACAACAAAAAAGCCACAACATCAGGAGGACATGGGGTTTCATCTGAAATGCCATACATCTTCTTCACTTGGTCCCATACATCATCTTGACAAAGTGTCTCATTCAGTCGTTTTTTCACACGTGGAGGGATATGTTTATGAAAAGATGTTGTCACATCGTTCTCTTTCATGTGTGTCATTGATGCCTTTTCTGAGTTATAATATTGATTAACCAGCTGCAAATTGAAAGTAACATTTGTGTTGCCTGTGTTAGCAGGAATCTGTCTAAGAACCCCAGCAACCTCATGTGTCACTGCCGTAGGTAACCTTTCTAACTGGTTATCCCCATGGGCCTGGTTAAGAGCTTTGTTTCCCATTGTTTTGATGGCCTGAGGGTCAGTAACCCCCTGGTCTTGATCACCAGCAGCCACAGGGTCCTGTTGTGGGTGTAAAGGTGGGAAGTCATGGCTTGATTTCCTCCTTGTTTGAATGTGGTCACCACCTTGTTCCTGCAGGTGGTGGTCAGTGACTGGCCCCCGAGGTAGTCTGCTATGCTGGGATTCTCCTTGTTGATGATGGGGTATATTTGGTCCTGTTGACTCACCAGGCAGTGTCTGAGATTGGAAATTTCCTTGTTGCAACGACTGCTTGCCAAAGGTAGGTTGTGATGATGGTTGGTTTTGTTGGTATTGGTCTGATACAACAGTCTTTCTTGTTGTCTGGGATTGGAAGTCATCCTGCTGGTTGTCAAAGTTGGGCTGTAATGATGTCTCCAATAATGTTGACCTTTGCCACTGGTTGCCCACATCAGCCTGGTTTAGAACTTGCCCTCTCTTTGTTTTGATGCTGTGAGGGTCAGTATCATTAGTAACGGCTTGGTCTCGATCCCCAGCACCCATATGGTCCTGTATTGCAGAAAAACTTGGGATTCACAAACTAAATTAACACAATGTGTCTGTAAATTATAATTAACATCATTAAAAAGTAGCTGTATATGCTTCAACCTGCTTTTAAAATTGATATTTAACATTGCTTTGAATACTACTGTAACTTATCCAACTTACTCCTGATAGCTGGAACCACTGTGGTGAGGTGTCATTGAAGTTCTGTTTATTAAGAGGCAAAACAACATCACCCAGGAGCACATTGTGGCCAAATGTGACACTGTGCCAGACTGACAACCACAGAATTCTTCTTTCCAGCTCATTCTTAGTGATGGTGTACTGAAACAGGATAGTGGGCAGCTGTCAGCAGATAAAAACAGCATGTACATTAATTAAAAAACAATTTATTGACGCATTGAATTGCTCACCATGAATGCTTAGCCTTGCACCAACTAAAAGAACAGTATTTTATAATAATAATTTATTAGATAAAATTGCAACCCTAAGGTTGAAGTTGTACAAAGAATGTTTAAAAGAAAAATTGACAATAAACTTTAAATTATAAAACGATAAATTATTCTTAAAATACTACAAATTAAAAAGGCATCCATAATTACTACAAGTTAAAAAGGCAATAATTAATAAAGGAATTTTTAAAACGTTCCATCTTCACTTTTGGTTGTAAGAATTTGGTGTTGTTTCGTAAAGGGCGGGTGTTTCTTTCAGGCAATAAATGACTTAACTTTTCACAATTTTTTAATTTTGTATAAAACCTCTGATACAACAAATGTCTACGTTTGTCTAGGGTGTCAATGTTACAAACTTTTAAGGCATCATCATAACTGAAACCCGGGCAAATAATCCTTAAGGCTCTCTTTTGAACTGATTCTAGACATTCAGATTGCTCAGCAGTCAGACCTGGTCCCCATACTGGACAGGCATATTCTAAAACTGATCTTATTACAGACTGGTAAATAGTTAATAAATCTTGTATGTCCAGTTTTGCCCTCTTTAGCTGTCTGAGATAAAAAAGCTTTAAACATGCCTTAGCATACATGATTTGAATGTGTTCAGCCCACTTGAGGTCTGGGGTTAAAATAACACCAAGTATNCGAGCGTCAGCTTAATCTGGTAAAATGCGAGACGAAAAAAATGATAGATAGAGCCTTATGACCCACTGTAGAATGATGCCGAATAATACATCAACGACGTAGTTTATCGGCAGATAAACGTGTTTCCATTCTCGGCTGACTGAGGAAAGGTTTGAGAGAGCATTTAAAGAAGAGGCGGTCGAACCAATAGTGAGTAGGAAGTGTGCTGCAATCAAGACGAACAATACCGATCATAAGTGGACAGCTAATAACCCCTAATTAACCCCGGGTTACGCGCTGCTGTGTTGACTCCTTGCTGGGAAGGGGTAGCGGCCTCCTACTGCTGTGCGTAATCAAACATTGTCTTCTAACATGCGGCTACACGACGGTTGCATTGTATTAATAAAGTAATACCTATTCATAAGGAAGGGGGCGGATGGTAATCTTACGAGAATTAAATCAGTTATCGATCATACGCGTACCAATAGTCGTGTTTTTTTTTTAGCTATACGGTATGTGTACTATGAACACTTTTCAGTCAGTCACTCTCCATTGGTTATGACTGAAATGTCTGGGGTGTGTGAAACATGTCACAGAGTTTTGGTACAGTGCTGGTGGGGTGGGGAGCGTTTGTCATGTTCTTTCAGTTTTTGCGGTTGTTTCCATATTAGTAACTGTGCCTACCGATTACTCAGACCATGCAGCCACCTACTGATGTGGGAAGACGACATTAGATGGCACCATATGCAGATATGGGCGTAGAACAAATCGAAATAGCCAGACGTTGTGTGTACAGGAAAACTGTAAATAGAATGTTAAGGAGAAGGGCTGTGACAGGAAATGTGACACCTGTTAAATCTACGGGAAGACTTCGAATTGGAAACGCCAGAAGTGATCGTGTCATTATCAACCTGGCATGAAGAGATCGGACCAAATCTGCTTAACCCATTGCCTTAGAGCTACAGGCCCGACGTTTGACTCGATTGTCTCGCCGATTGTCTCAGACGGTAAACTGCAGGCTGTTTGAACACGGCTACGTTTCAAGAAGAATGGCTAAGAAATCACTGTTGACAACTGCCCGTCGAGCAAACGGTGGGCAAACCCACGACTGAGATTGGGCCCTAATAATGAAGTCCTAAGATGTTTCATGACAATTTCCCCTAATTTCATATTAATTGTTAATCACAGTATAAATTTATGTTTTATTTTTTACTTGGCACTGTTATGTAAAAAACTCTCTTTTTTTTTTGGGGGGGGGGTGGCATGAGAAAAAACCCTAAATAAATAAACGCTTTTCTCAGATTTGCATTGGTTGTTTCTCCTTGACTTTGCCAATCCTCCAGCTTCACATATTTTGAAATATAAACAGTATTAATTTGGTTATATCAATAACAATGAAAGAAACAGGGCGATATGCATCCCAAAATTTCTGTGCACCAAGCATTTTGGGCGAGAGTGAAATTGTCTTTATTTGTACATTGAACCCTTTTGTCGGTTCCTTTTAACTTAAACAGCATTTTGTTTGTGAAAACGTTTCCTTTTCATATCAATGTTATTCTCGACACATTGCTTGAAAAGCGGGTCTGCAGCTTCTTTTCATCTTACGGATCTTTTTAAGGAAATTTTAGCTGACATTAGCTCACAATGTCCTCGTCTCATGCCAACAAACATAAAATTTACTATTAGAAAGATCATAAATAATAAGATTAGTAATCAATCTATTGCAAAATACAGACGAATTATCTGCCGTTTTATGTCGAAGTTCCGCCATGTAGCGCAGTGTACAACAATAGTACACGGTACAGTGTTTGATTTAAGTCACTGCCAAGTTCAAATGAATGAAATAAAAAATAACCTCGATAGGATTAAAACCCACATTATGCGTGCTTATAAATTTATTTTGTTTCGTTTTCCTTACCATTCTTACATTTGGGATACATTTATTTTCTTATTAGGCCAAATGAAAGCGTAGATGCGGTAGGGAAATTTAGCCAATGTGTCCTGTGACTTTATTTTTTAATTTGTTGCAAAGACATAAAGTGTTTCGGCGAGGTCCAAGGACGCCAGTTGTTTGACTTTAGGATGGGTTAATTCTTTAATGAGCTCGGCTATTACAGATATGAACTTCAATTTCGCGCGCGTAATGAATATGCATCCCTGGTAGAGTTTATTATGCATAGCCGTTCTGCTTATACAATCTTTGAATGTCGTTGACCCTTGTAATTATCAGTGGTTATCAGCTGTGTGTTTGGAGGTACCATTGGTAACCGCCTAAAACAAAGGAGGGAATTTTTCTGACAGTATGTCAATATAATAATCTGATCGATATCTAATAATAATCAGCATAACTCACGTCTATAACTGCTTTAACGCCATTCAGTGCGTCCTTATTCTGTGCAGTTTCTCACGCACTTCAAAAACTCTCCCTCCCAAAATTCTGAGTTCGCAGACATCCCGAAAGCACGTGCGAAGGATGTTGGATATGTCCCCAAAACTCTATGAATCCTCTACAAACAGCGTGACTTGCTTCCATGAAACGACATTGCAAGTAGTTCGTAAGTGAAACGTACGTTTTGTAAGGTACCGTTGGAAGAAAAACCGCAATAAAGAGCAAGTGCCCCTCGCGTGTTGATTGCGGCGCACACCTTCAACAACATACGAAAAAATTCGAACGCACGTTGGGAATGCGTCAGGGGTATAAAAGGTATGCTCACGTCGACTGCGACTCATAAAGCAGACTTAATAACTTAATAATAATGTTATTAATTTAATAAAAAACGCACTATCGAGCTAGATCCGAACTTACCGTCGAATAACGCACCAGTTTTTGTAAAATTCGACATGCGAGAATGGTCTCGAGCAGAACAATTATCAACTCTACCTTCAAACAAGATGAAGCGTTATATGATCACATTACAGGCAGGAAAACACAACTCGCAAACGTCCTCAGGTATTTTAAATGATCGGACGTAAATCACAAAACGCTCGAACAGCTGCGTCTGTAAGGACATATAATGCACTGATATTTCTTTAACCATATTGATGAAGTATGCATTTTCTCTCCCCTACCCCCACTTTCGAAGAGACCGTACGATTCACATTTAAACTGGTTACCTGTACATAATTTTCTAAAATAAAACAGTTGAGGCTCCAGATTTTGTTTATAAGTGTTAAACTATACCCTGTGTACAAATCATTCGCCATATACCAATTTCTTTCTCAAACAATATATTTTTAATATTTTGGTTTTAATTAATGAAATATCCATAGGTGTCTGGTTCATGGGCTACAAGTCTGACTTGAATGTCAATTCGCACAAATTTAATATAAGTCCCTTTTAATGCATAGCCATTTTTTTTATTCAACCTTTGCCTCTTGTTGACCCTCGAAATGTATCTAAGGGTGTATTCCCAGAGATTTAGATCGATCCAGGGATTAAGATTTAGATCGACCTAACTCCCTGAGGGTTCAAGCTAAATTGCAGTCAGCCATAGTTAATTAACCCCTTACAGCTTTCAGTAGGCGAGACAGACGCTTAAGCCGGCTAAGCTGACAGTAATCTAGTTAGACTCCCCACAGGATTACATCGATCTAAAATCTATGGAAATGGGGTCTAAGTCAGCTATGTTGACTTTGGAATGTACTGAATTTTAAATGATCCCAGCTACTCCAGATATCAACCTTAGACCCCATTCCCAGAGATTAGATCGATACAAACTAGATCGATACAAACTAGATCGACCTAACTCCCTGGGGGTTCACGCTAAATAGCTGTCAGCCGAGAGGGCACGAAAGTTAATTACCCCCTTACAGCTTGTAGTAGTCGGGACGGACATTTAATCCGGATTATCTGACAGTAATCTAGTGAGACTCCCCACGGGGATAGATCGATCTAAATGTCTGGGAATACACCCTAAGTGACAGTTCGTCGAGTTTTGTTTATACTGTCTATGTCTCTTGTTAACACATGTAATTATAGAATGCTGCGACTAAGTCAACATTGTGTTTGGAGAAAGTATATACATATATAATATAATAATTTATTGAGCACTAAAATGTTTCAGTAAATATTTTACAGGCCCTCTAAACTACTTGTGTTATACATACATGTAATATATATCTAGACCTATTATCACACTTATGTGATATCAGGCTTACAAGCGTAAATGTAATTACATGTTTCATATAAATACAAATACCTTCCTCTCGGGTCATAGATTGATTTGTAACTATCTACTCACCGATATG